AAAACCCCGGCAATAGGTATTTATTAATACTGTTAAAATCGATTATTAAAATAAACAAGTAACTAATTAGATTGCATTTATCATTGTGTTGTAGAATGTATTAATAGGTAATAAGAGGCAGTGGCGTGATTAATCTCTCCTTTGTTTATACTGTCGATTATCATTTTACGATTGTAGCCATAACCTTCAACTATACCTAGAGCCTCTTCATCGATTCTATAAGTCATAAAATCTTCAGTCAAAGCACAGTAATCACTATACTTGATCTTACTCTGCAAAATAGGGATGCCTGATTTGACTTCAGATGTACTTTTGTAGTAAAGATTTTCTACGTTTATATAATTGATATTTCCACTTTCCATTTACCCATTACCGGCTCCAATGATACCGTTCATACATTCTTGTCTGAAGAATGTTGCCCCTACCTTCAAATCATGCTCATCATCCTCTTCCTCGTCTTCAAAACCTTCAGTAGGCTCTCTAACCCATGGATGATTTAACATATCTGGAATAAGGATTCTTTTCTCAGGTGTGAGGACAAGCATTTTTCTTATTAAGTCTTTGGAGCTCTCTGAAATAGAATCTACAGCGAAATCAAAGTCTCCCTTAAGTATAAGTTTGTGCAAGTCTGCTATGTTGTTTGCCTTAAATGGAACTGTTCCCTAAAGCATAGCATATAGTAAAACTCCTAAACTCCATATATCTGCATAGAATCCTTCGTAACCTTCATCAATTATGATTTCAGGTGCCAGATATGCAGGGGTTCCACACTGCTCTTTTATTATCTGATTATTTTTAACCAGCCTACTGACACCGAAGTCGCATAATTTTACTCCTCCTTCGCCGTCCATCAGCACGTTATCTAATTTTATATCTCTATGGAGTACACTTCTGCAATGGCAGTGTCCCAGTCCGTAAATTATCTATTTGAAAATTGCTCTTGCAGTGTCCTCATCAAGTCTCTTTCTCTTTTTTACATACTGAAGTAGATCTCCACCACCAGCATACTCCATAACCATAAGGAAATGCTTTGGACTTTCAAAGACTTCAAGCAAACGAATAACACAAGAGTGTCTAATTTTCTTGAGAATATAAACTTCTTGGAAAACCTTCCTTCTAGAATATTCATCTTTCATGTAACTTTTATCAATAGTCTTTATTGCAACGTACTTACCAGTCAGCTTGTGGACCCCAAGAGTTACTTTACCAAAAGCTCCTTTTCCAATAAGCTTTACAAACTTGTAATAGTCTAGTGTGGTTGGCGGAATTTCATTATGTCTCTTGATATATGCTTTAATGAATTTTATTATTTTTTCTCTTTCCCCAAGAGCTGCTTCATTCAGAGTGATTTCCTTGTTATCTCCGATCGTTGTCTCATTTTCACACACTGAAATTATACTCTTTTGAAGCTCAGCTATATTTTGAGTATTCTAGCCTGAAGCGATAGATTTTTCTGGCCTTTAATTTCTGCTTGCTTAAAGATTCTACTGCTAATTAGGGTCTATCGAAGGCACATTTTTCCTATGACCTTTAATCTACTAATTGTTACTACTTGAAATGCTTGGATGGTTGGCGTGATGATGATTTTTCTATGAATCATGATTCTGATTGTGCTATTACTGTTTATTAAGCAAGAGATTATTATCAGAAACGTTTCTTTTGTGGTTGTTAAGCTAGTTATGATTGATTGATGATTGCTAATACTGCTTCTGCTGATTGTTTGTAAGCACTGCTGAGTCACTTCCTCTTCTTATATTTATAGGCTAAGACTATTTTGTCGATTAGGGCATATCATGATTATTGGATGCTGCCCCTTAGAAGATTTGATAGTTGTTATTCGAATTATTCACATTCTTAGTTGAGTTAATATTAATTTGATTACCCATTGGACTAATACAGAAATTATTTAAGATACTTGATTCTCCCTTCTAATCCTGAAGTATCATTTAGTGCAGAACTGTCTTATTTACATTGGTATTGATCATTAACTGAATGGTAGGGACCTGTCTGCTATTCTAAGATTGCATGTCTGTTCTTTATGAAAAGCTTCCTTCTTTGCTGGTGTTTTCAAATTCTTCGAATTAAGCTGATTAAGGATTGAAACATAATTTAGATCCATTAATTGGAGCTTACAATGGCTATTGCTGAGAATTATGTCTTTAGTTAAAGATATTCTAGTGGTTGCTAATATTATTTTGATCTAAATTCTATGGAACGCCTATATTAGGTGAAGCTGAGCCCCTTCTGTGACTCGAACTACACCTAGGTTTTGAAAATTTAGCAAGATCCAGCTTCATTAGATCTTTAATTAGATTGTTCATTTCATCTTTATTGTTCTCTAGTTTCTGAGTATTGATGATGTTCTTGTCCTCTAAGTAAGTTAGGAACTCCCTTAGATTTTATAAAATGTCTTCATTAACTAGCTCTTCATCCTGGTAATTATTGTCATTAGGCTGTGGTCCTTGCTTTTTCTTGATATATTTGCCAATGTGCAAGATAATTTACTCTTTTGCATTTTTTGCGCTTAAAGAGGGTTGATTAGATGCCATTGATGGACTTTTTTGATTCATTTATTGAAGTATTTTAGATACATTATCAGATTGCATGTCATACTATCCAATGCCAGATTTGACACTTGAGTTCTTCTCAAGTGTGAATTTAGCCTTGGTATCTTCAATTTTTTAGGGCTAATATAGATTGGCCCCACTTAACTAGGATACTTGCGATTAGTGATGATTTGATGGTGGCTATTTATTCTACTCAAGTTTAACGGATTTTTAAAGCTGCTTGCCTTGCAAGTTAGGGTTGCTAGCATACTGACTCATTTAAAAATTAACTTAATTCTGAGCAATAGACATCGGGCTAGGAGTGAAATTCGTTCTATTATCAGGAGATTGCACTCCTGACATAGGAGCTGAGTTTTGACCATTGTCGTTACTGTTTTGATATTTCTTCTTCAATTCATATACTCTCTAGAATATTTGACTGTTATTTTTCTAATGATTTTGGTTCTAAGATGTGTTGTTACTAGTTGTATTGGTAGCATTCTATTGACTGCTTTACTGAGCAGATTTTTTAAACTAAATTTGGCCTAGTGGTGATTACTAACTCTACCTCGAATGACTCATGTTTGAGTTTAGAAGGCTGTAGTTATTTGTATTAGGGGACTATGCCCCATTCTTAAAGACAAACATGTTATTCTTGTTGATGCTATCTTTTGGGCTTAATGTGGTTTAAATTTGACTGCTGATTCCAACATTTTAAGCCTATCTGCTCTGCTGCTGATTTTAGCATTGCGATAATATTGAAATAGGTGTAGGTGATTTAGTATTCACATAAGGCTTATTCGCATGCTGCTAATCTTTTGAGTTTTTTCTAGATCCTACAGCACTTACTGCCTGATTATAATGAATTCCTTAATTATGTTACTACTGTTACCCATTTTTTACTGAGTTTTGCTAGGATGACTGAGACAGGGTTACGTTACAAGAAGATGACTAATTCGAAAGCGATACCTATTGCCCACTGTGCATGCTTTATATACCGCTAGACGAGAACTTCTTTTTTAAAGAAGCCATCTTTGCTGTCATATTCATTGGAGATTGATTAGTTGTGATCACCATAACATTTTCATTCTGTTGCTGAGAATCCCTCCTTAATAGAGCTACTTGATCCTTTGAAATATGAACTGAATTCATCTTAAGATTTGATGTCGGTATGTTACTAATGCTATTTTTTGCTGAAAAAGCACCAGTAGCAATTCCTGGGGTTGCTCCACAAATTTGTCTGCTTTAGTTCGCAATAATTGCGCTTGCTCCGGCCTTCACATCGTAGAGGCTGTTTGTTAGTTCCTTGAAGAAGTTATTCCCGGTTTTCTTCTATACTCAATATTTATCTCTATTACTATATACATTTTAATTTGTATCAGCATTTTTCTGAGTTAGCGGTCCGGCATGATGAAAATGCGATGATGGGATTAATTTATTGTTGGTATTTATACTCATCTATTTTTAGTGCTTGACATTCTCTTGATTGCTATAGCCATTGGGATCTGAACATATTTTCTTAAATTGAGATGAGATTCTTACATTGACCCATCGGTGAAGAGGGAGCAGATTGCTTCTTGAAAAGCATATTTTGATGCTAAGTATTTTTCATAATTAATTTCAAAATTTCAAAATAAACAATCACTTTATTATATTATTAGGAAAGCATGGATTGAGATAAATTTTATCAAAGCACTCATAAAATTATGTATTCTGGATCTTGGGGTTTTGGGGTTTTGGGGTTTTGGGGTTAATTATGAAAAATACTTAGCAT